TTTTAGGGAGCAGGCTGGCAGGCGGGGCCCATGACTTACACCATAGGAACCTGCACAGCACAAAACACTGTTGCTGTATGTAGGTTTATTTTATTTGTTTTTTATCTTATAATTTGGAAATGTACATCCAGTTTTTTTTACTTTAATTTTTTTTGGGGCCCCCAAGAGAGTGGGGCCCTAAGCTATAGCTTGTTTAGCTTATACCAAAATCTGGCACTGAATACAAGTGTGTCAGAAAGTGTGCAAGGGCGGGTAGGTTCAGGGGTGGTCCACAGGCAGCCCACAGGGCTGTGGCACTGTGGGTTAAGCCACAGAGCCTAGGACTTGCCGATCAGAAGGTCAGCGGTTTGAACCCCCATGACGGGGTGAGCTCCCGTTGCTCAGTCCCAGTTCCTGCCAACCTAGCAGTTCAAAAAACACGTCAAAGTGCAAGTAGATAAATAGGTACCTCTCTGGCGGGAAGGTAAACGGCGTTTCCGTGTGCTGCTCTGGTTTGCCAGAAGCGGCTTAGTCATGCTGGCCACATGTCCCGGAAGCTGTACGCCGGCTCCCTCGGCCAATAAAGCGAGATGAGCGCCGCAACCCCAGAGTCGGTCATGACTGGACCTAATGGTCAGGGATCCCTTTACCTTTACAGGCAGCCCACAGGTGGGCTAAGCAAAATGTGCTACATGAAACAAAATGTGTTGTATAAAAGAAGGTGTGGTCCTTGCATCTATCCACGCAGAGCCATGTGGGTTTTCAGGTGCAGTGCAGACGGGCTCACATATTGTAACTGTCTTGTACGCTTGGCTTATGAAGGGCGCTTCTTTCACTGATTTGGCGAAGGGCAAGATATAAAGAAATAAGCAATACAGTTGCCTGCTAGATTGTGTGCTAGAGACATCTAGTGTTCTGCTGGAGAAGTGCCTGATAAACTTAACAGAAGGGTACAAAAGGGGTGGAACAATTTTTGTGTGATGGCACCCGTGCGGAAGCTGAGGAAAACCACTTCCTCTGTGTAGGATAGATCTGTTTTTAAATCCCTTCATTTGGAGATTAACAGCAGCATTTCCACATCTGTGGCACTCCCTAGGGTTGGCATGGAGGTGCCAAATATGCCCAACTCATGGAGCACAAAGATTGCATCTTCCATGTGCAATGCCGCTACAGGAAAGTATGTTTGGCTGCCTCCACATTGGGACTTTAACATTAAAACCCAGGGCTTTTTTTCAGCCAGAAATCGCTCCCGTTGCTCTGTCCAGCTCTTGCCAACCTAGCAGTTCAAAAGCACGCCAGTGCAAGTATATAAATAGGTACCACTGTGGCGGGAAGGTAAATGGTGCTTCCGTGCGCTCTGACTTCCGTCACAGTATCCGTGGTGCTAGAAGCGGTTTAGTCATGCTGGCCACATGACCCAGAAAGCTATCAGTGGACAAAGGCTGGGAAAGCGAGATGAGCGCCACAACCCCATCGTCGCCTTTGACTGGACTTAACTGTCCAGGCGTTCAAAGGTGAGTCCCGGCACCATTTTTCTAGAAATATAGCACTGTTAAAACCAATAAATTTTTTCATTTCATTTGGTTAAGGCTATCGGGTATTTTGGAAGGACAGATCCTGAAGCTGAGGCTCCAATACTTTGGCCACCTCATGAGAAGAGAAGACTCCCTGAAAAAGACCCTGGTGTTGGGAAAGATGGAGGGCACAAGGAGAAGGGGGCGACAGAGGACGAGATGGTTGGATAGTGTTTTCGAGGTTACCAGCATGAGTTTGACCAAACTGTGGGAGGCAGTGGAAGACAGGAGTGCCTGGCGCGCTCTGGTCCATGGGGTCACGAAGAGTCAGACAGGCCTAAACGACTAAACAGCAACAATCGGGTATTTCTTCAGCCAGTACTGTGGTAAGAAACTTGTTCCTTTCAAACATTCAGACGGGGTGTGTGGGTGTGTGGAGGAGGGGAGGAAAAGAAAGCCACCCACATTGTGTACATATTGTTCACTGAAAAATCCTTTACTCCTTTTGAGTTACATTAGAACTTTTAACCAGAAGCGCCATATTATTATTTTTTACAAGAATGCAAGAGGTCACAAATGACAATACGGCAGGTGACGGCACTGCATAGAATCGTAGATTTGCAGAGATGGGAAGGGACCACAAAGGACATCTAGTCCAACCCTAGCCCGGAGTGACAATCATTGCGTATCACACAAGAGGATGGGAAGACATGACAGGTTATCTTGCCTAATCTAGTCATCAAGCATCAGTAGCAGTGCTGAGATGTGTGTGTCGATTCACAGGCATGATGGAAGGTGGGTCTAACACAAAGCTGAGCGCTTGCGGGGTCTGAGCAGAGAACAAATCTACACAACACAAGGAAGTATTTTAAGTTTGGTGCTGGCCTTCACAAGCAGAACACTGCCAGCAGGAGATCCAGGCAGGTGGGCTCTGGATTAGGGGCCACACAGAGGCGGAGGAGGAGTTGGGCAGACTTGGCAGGTGATAGCAATAAGTCCAGCCCTGGGTGCAATGGTCCAGGCTCTGCATATGGCTTTGGGCTCTACCGAGAGAGAGGTACAAAATGATACATGGAATTTTAGGTTATAATATCTGCAACCTCTATTTAAAGCAGGGGTCAGCAAACTTTGTCAGCAGGGGGCCGGTCCACTGTCCCTCAGATCTTGTGGGGGCCCCGAACTATATATACCGTATTTTTCGCTCTATAAGACGCACCAGACCACAAGACGCACCTGGTTTTTGGAGGAGGAAAACAAGAAAAAAAATATTCTGAATCTCAGAAGCCAGAACATCAAGAGGGATCGCTGCGCAGTGAAAGCAGCAATCCCTCTTGCTGTTCTGGCTTCTGGGATAGCTGCGCAGCCTGCATTCGCTCCATAAGATGCACACACATTTTCCCTTACTTTTTAGGAGGGAAAAAGCGAGTCTTATAGAGCAAAAAATACAGTACATATATATGGGGGGGGGGGCAGGAATGAACGAATTCCTATGCCCCACAATTAACCCAGAGGTGCATTTTAAATAAAAGGACACATTCTACTCATGTAAAAACATGCTGATTCCCCGACCGTCCGCAGGCCGGATTTAGAAGGCGACTGGGCCGGATCCAGCCCCCGGGCCTTAGTTTGCCTACCCATGATTTAAACGAACAGTCAGGGAGAACATGTGTACAATAGACAAAGAAGCCATTTGAAGCTTCCATCTGAGGCAGCGGATTTGCACCAGACCAGCTATGGGCCCTTCCAGATTGCTGCCGTTTCTGGATAGCAATCAGTCACACGCTGGCAAATTTAGGGGGCACAGTTAAATGCACTGGGAAGTGCGGGATAGTAATGGCCTGACTCACGGTTTTGTAACTTCCTCGCAAACAAATCAGAATAAACGCTCCATAAATGGCTAACCTTGCCTAAGCTCCCCACAAACTTTGTGCAAACGGATTAGGAGGAAGGCTCAACACGCTGGCAGTCTGGAACCAGTCCATATGCAATAAATACACAGGTATCTATTTAGCCATGTATGCAGGTGCATAGCTGTCAACTTTCCCCCTTTTAAAAGGTAAATTCCCTTATTCCGAATAGGATTCCTCGCAAGAAAAGGGAAAAGTTGACAGCTATGTGCAGCTGGTGGGAATTTGCTCCCTCAGATGGAAACGTTATGTTCTTCCTTGTCTATTGTAATTGTCCTATTAGTTTTATTTTAAGCACATGTTGCACCTATTATTATTAGTTTTTACAGCACTCAGAATACATACCATTCAATTATATTTATTATAATATATAGTGTGGGCATGATTTTCCTGCACTGAATTGAAATCCATGTCGAAAAATATTTTTGTGCAAAGCGACAACAACTTTCAGACTTCCTCAGGGCTTTCAATCTATCTGAGCAGGACTAGGGTCCATTTGAAACATACAGAAGCCAGCGGCAAAATTTGAATCCAGATCTGAAATCTGCCCCCCCACTCCAATGCCCAGAGGAAATAGTGATCCTTCTCCAGTTCATCGCATGTAGCCAAACATGGTTGGGTTGTGAAGACTGTGTTCTTTCTCTTCCAGGGGCGAAATGAGAAGAGACTTTAATTGCCATAGCTGTCAACTTACAGATTTGAAAATAAGGGACCAGCAGCCTCAAAAATAAGGGATCAGCAGCCAAAATAAGGGATTTTCAGAGCACAGCTATGTTCAGCTTCTGAGCCCCTCCGAGCCAAAGGCAGAAAACCCAGCCAGCAGCCAAACGAAGCCTCAAGCGGTGGTTCCCACAGCGCAGCAACCCGGCAAAGGGGATGCAGCAAGGAAAACCACCGTCACCTCTCCGCTGGGAAGCGCTGAGCAAAGGCGAGTCCCCAGGCAATGAGGCCTATTTGATCGGCACAAGGCATGCAAGTTCCACCCCCCAGTCATTCTTAGACTCCTTATTGGGTGAGCAACGCAGCCAAGCAACACAGTTGGAGCCTCCCTCCTCCCTGGCCAGCAGGGAGGGAGGGAGGGAGGGAGGGAGAGGAGCTGCTTCCTTTGAAACCCGGGAAATTTAAGGGACATCATCAATAAGGGACAGCAGCGGGACACAGCGCTGGGATAAGGGACTTTCCCACCAAATAAGGGACAGTTGACAGCTATGTTAATTGCACTTTTGAATCCCATGCCACAAAAAAGTAGCTACAGATTTCCCCAATAAAGGAAGGGTTATTCTGTGCCCCTGTGCCATCTATCCACTCTAAATCACCCTCCTTGCCAGCTCCGATTTGCTGCAATTTTTAACGACTGAAAATTGCATACTTTTTAAAGAAATCCAGCGGGGCAGGGGCAGTTTTCAGTAGGAAAAGGAGAAGAGCTTAAACTCTCTCTCACCCCACTGCTCTGATCTGGACCGAGGCCCTTGAGGTTCCATTTTGGAAAGAGCGAGACATGGAGAGTCCTAACCACGGGATTAAAAGCACAATTAAAACCACGCATAGGTGTTTGTTTGTTTTTTAGCCCTGACTAGTCTAAAAGTAGTAAAGTAGCGGAAATTGTGGTGGTGTATTATTAGCGAAGTGGGGTTGTTCAGAAACAAGTTAGAAGCTTTTATTGGATTGTCGTGGGGTGCTCTTGGGTGTCTGAGAGCCGGGGAGCTCTGTCTTGGGGTAGAAAGCGCTGCTGCCACTCAGGGGGGTTAAGCGGACATCGTTCTCCTGCCTCTCCGATCCACCTTCTTCCTTGATGACCCACTCGGCGTTCTGAGGAACCAGACTTCCTTGGCTGAACTGTTCTTCCTGCAAGCAAGAAAAGGGGTGAAATATACTCAGAGTCGAGAGTGGACTTCATGCTCTTTATTCAGCTCATAGTGGTGAGGAGGAATGAAAGTTTCTCCAAAGTATCTGCTTTATATACATTATTCACACAATGGGCTGCACGTGATTGGCTAATTCCGGAATTCTCCTGTAGGCCAATCAGGTTGTGGATTCACTTCCATCTGGAGCTGGATTGTGTGGCTCCTGAAGGCCAATCATACTGCTGCATTGTTCTAGGACCAATCAGACTGCTGCATTCTGAATCCTATTGTTCTAGGACCAATCAGACTGCTGCATTTTGGATCCTATTGTTCTGGAACCAATCAGACTGCTGCATTCTGAATCCTATTGTTCTAGGACCAATGAGACTGCTGCATTCTGAATCCTATTGTTCTAGGACCAATCAGGCTGCTGCATTCTGAATCCTATTGTTCTAGGACCAATCAGACTGCTGCATTCTGAATCCTATTGTTCTAGGACCAATCAGGCTGCTGCATTCTGAATCCTATTGTTCTAGGACCAATCAGACTGCTGCATTTTGGATCCTATTCAACTCAGTACATAACAAAGGGAAAGGCAGCTGCTCATTCAGAGGCTTACGGACGGAAGCGGGGAAGGACTTGCTGCAACACTAGGATTACAAATAGCACTCTCCGCCCTCCATGGATTCCTGAAGCTGGTATTCAGAAGCATCACTGCCTCTTGTGGCAGGGAGTTCCAAAGTTTGACTATGCAGATTATCAAGTGTTACTGAGGTGGAGAGAAGACGCCAATAGGAATCTTTTCACTTTAAACCACCAGTCCACAGGGAAATGTAAAGGTGGGTTCAGATGACGCAAGAAACCACAAACCAGCAGGGGAGGGGTGCTCTGGAAACACACACACACACACCACACACACACACACTCTTTCAGTTTTACAATTTAAAATACTAATTTAAACATCCTTGAGATATCAGTGACTTCCCTTTCCATGGTTCATTCTGCATATCACAAATCCCTGCATATTTTACAAAAACTAAACCTTTCAGTGTTCCATCCGTCAAAACTTATTTACACTGTTGAATTCATCTTAATGCTGCCAATGTTTTCAAATGTACACAGTTCCCCCCAGCTACTCAAAAAACGTTTTCCACTCTTCTCTAAAGGTATGTTCTTCTTGTTCTCTTATTCTATATGTTAAGTCTGCGAGTTGCGCATATCCTTTCAGCTTATGTTGCCATTCTTCTTTAGTTGGGCTCTTGCTCGTTTTCCATTTTGGGGCTAACAAAACACGGGCCGCAGTAGTGGCATACATAAATAACCTTTTTTGGCACCTGGGAATTTCAGTCTTAATTACGTATCCCCCCAAAAAAGAACCCTGGTTTTTTTTGAAAGGTGCTTTTAAACACCCCCCCAATTCATTATGGATAGATTATTTCCCAATACTCTTTTACCCTTTTACAAGTCCACCACATGTGAAAGAACATTCCCTTAACCTCACTGAATTTCCAGCACTCATCTGATTCAGTCTTATACATCTTAGCAAGCCTAGGTAAAGGTAAAGAGACCCCTGACCATTAGGTCCAGTTGTGGCCGACTCTGGGGTTGCGGCGCTCATCTCGCTTTATTGGCCGAGGGAGTCGGCATGCAGCTTCTGGGTCATGTGGCCAGCATGACTAAGCTGCTTCTGGCGAACCAGAGCAGTGCATGGAAACACCATTTACCTTCCCGCCAGAGTGGTACCTATTTATCTACTTGCACTTTGACGTGCTTTCGAACTGCTAGGTTGGCAGGAGCAGGGACCGAGCAACGGGAGCTCACCCCATCATGGGGATTTGAACCGCCAACCTTCTGATCGGCAAGTCCTAGGCTCTGTGGTTTAACCCACAGTGCCACCCGCGTCCCTTTAGCAAGCCTACTCGGAGTTAAATGCCACCTGTAAATCAATTTCAAGACACTTCTGAGCAGTGTGGTCCAGCACAATTGTTGATTCACATTGAACTAAAGCAGGCTTCCTCAACCTCGACCCTCCAGATGTTTTGGGCCTACAACTCCCATGATCCCTAGCTAACAGGACCAGTGGTCAGGGATGATGGGAGTTGTAGTCTCAAAACATCTGGAGGGCCAAGGCTGAGGAAGCCTGAACTACAGTTTGTTTTAAGCTTGGGTTTCATGTCACTGGCGAACCAGGTCAAAGCCTTGGCCCCACTCTATTGCATAGAGTGGATACCGTACTTTTCTGTGTATAACATGCCCCCGTGTATAAGACACCTCTTATTTGGGGGGACTAAAATTTCAGAAAAGGGGAGGGGGATTGCCCAGAGTTGTTGAGATTTTTTTTTGGGGGGGGAGGATTGCCCAATGTGGATTCTGCACCCTGAGTAGATCGGATGTTGCAATTGGAACCTACAGATACCTACTTTGCTAATGTTGTTAAGAAGTTTGCTTGCTGAGTCCTTGTTCTTGAATTTGCTTCTCTCCAGTCCCTCCAGTTTAACCACCAAGGCGTCCGTCTTGGATATGACCCCCCCAATGGAATGCTCCAGCTGCAGAACCCGTCTCAGGAGTCTGTGGAAGAAAGTGAGGTTTGTTCCCGTGCTGACCTCTTTGTGCATCAATCAGCAAAGGAGAGGTTATTCCCACTCTCCACTTCTAGTTTTGAGCCCAACTCTTCCCAATTCGTCTGATATAAGAAGGGGAATATTAGACCCTCTGAGTGTCCCTATTTTCCAGGGACAGAAGCCATCCCTGTTTCTGATTTCATTCCCAAATGCCCTGCTTTTCTCCTATTTTCATTGGAGAAATGTTGGATGGTATGGAGTTAGGCAACCCCTGAACCAAACAGTAAGTAGCCATGCAACCAGTTTTTTTTTTCCTCTGGGGGTACTCATAACCCTAAAAATTTTGTGAATCTAACGGGAGAAGAAGCTAAAAATGGTAAATTTTAAAGGTTTTGTTCTAGCATGGTGAATCGTCAGTTCCGTTGCTACCCCCGATGGCGGCCTCGTTTCCTGTCACAGTGTTTTTTTCCTGAGTCTCAGGCAGAAGCGAGTGTTTAATGTGGAAAGTAAGGTAAAGTGTTTAATGTGGAAAGTAAGGAGCCGGCGTTTGTCTGCAGACAGCTTCTGGGTCATGTGGCCAGCATGACTAAGCTACTTTTAGTGAACCAGAGCAGCGCACGGAAATGCCGTTTACCTTCCCGCTGGAGCGGTACCTATTTATCTGCTTGCACTTTGACGTCCTTTTGAACTGCTAGGTTGGCAGGAGCTGGGACCGAGCAACGGGAGCGCACCCCGTTGCAGGGATTTGAACCGCCGACCTTCTGATCGGCAAGTCCTAGGCTCTGTGGTTTAACCCACAGCGCCACCCACATCCCAACGTATGAAGTAGGAGTTAATAATAATAATAATTTTTTATTTATACCCCGCCCATTTGGCTGGGTTTCCCCAGCCACTCTGGGCAGCTTCCAACTGAATATTAAAACAATACAATACAGTTGAAATCTAGCACTGTGATTGGTTAGTTTTCATTGTTACCACCTCCAATGGCTGCCTCATTTCCTTTCCTGGTGTTTCCCGAGTCTCAGACAGAAGCGAGCGTTTAATGTGTAAAGCAGTGTGGAATGTGGATATGTGGTGTTTTACTGATAAAAGTTTGGCCTCATGGAGGGGCAGTATTTCAATATGAGTAATGCATGTTCTTTGTACCTTTGTCCATTTACTGTATTTATTTTCCCTGATTTGGACTATAAAATGGTGATTTTATTGAGTCAAAATGAGAGTACCCCTGAACATTTTTTAAAGAAAAAGAGCACGGTATACAACCATTAGAAGACATCTAAGGCAGTCCTGTATAGGGAAGTTTTTTAATGTGTACTGTTTTATTATGATTTTATACAGTATGTGTTGGAAGCTACCAAGAGTGGCTGGAGCAACCCAGTCAGGTGGGCGGGGTATAAATATTATTATGGAATAGGACGTCCCTATTTTCATCAGAGAAATGGTGGAATGTATGGAGTATAGGCGCCATACCTATGTTTTGCATAATATATAATTTAGTGATCTCTTTTTGGGTGTGTATATTCTGATGAGTGTATTTGACAGGTACTAATAAAATTAAATAATAATACAGACGTTTGGAACTCCTCCTCAGACACCAGGCTAGATTTGTTTCCTTGATTGTTCTTTGCATCCGCAATGGCAAACGGGCCGTCCAAATTGTTGTCTCCGAAGGATTTTCCCAAATTCTCAATTTCTGCATTCAAAGCAACCTAGGAAAGAAGAAGCAGCCAGTCATTTTTATCGTGTTCAGGTTTGACCATCGTGCTTTTAAAACTCAGGACCACAATTTAAGGCACTCCTGTGACACAGAGTGAAAATGCATCCTTACTCTCTTCTCCTCCAAGTCGTTCCGCATTCTCTTCTGCTCCTCCTCATCCAGAATCTGGTTCCCATCTTTATCGAACTTTGCAAAGGCTGCTGTGATCTCGTGCTCAGCATGGCCAAGCCTAAGGAAGGAAGGACAGCAGGAGAGAGACTGAAGCTGAAACAAAGGGCATGAACACCTAACATTCTTATTATAGACGAAAATTTGGCAAAACACTTTGGCCGCCCCTTCAGCATATGCTGTGAGTGTGGGAGGAGCAGTCAAATACAACATTCCTTCTTTCCCTAGAGAAGACAAGCAGGGGAATGTTTGGTCCAGCCAGTCAAAAACTTCCTGTTTCCTCCTGGCCTGGAGCATCCTTCCTGTGCTGCTCCTGTGGGATAACCGTGAGGTGAGGTCCGAGTCCAGTCCGAGGTGGAGGGTGCAGTATTGAGGCTGTCCGTCAAAGCTGAAGCTGGGTCCAAGGCAAGGAGTCGGGTGAGGTCAGGAACTCTGGCAGAAGAGCAGGACAGGGTGCAGACAGGAACAGGCTACCAACAATGTTGCTCCCGCAACCTGGGACTGGGGCTGGCTGGCTTTTATCTGCCCCGAGGCATAGGGCGGCCCCGGTTCAAAGGTAACTCACCCCTCCTGGCCTGGAGGCGAGCACTCCTCCTGCGGGAACTTAGTTCCCTCCGCCTCTCTGCCCTGAGCCTCTGCAGCTCAGGAGAGGCTGGAGGGTCACTGGACCCAGAGGCAACCTCAGCTTCCCCTGATGGGGTTGAGAGTGGAGCACCTGCAGACAATGGGTCCTCCATCACCTCAGGAGCCAGAGCAGACTCAGCTGGTGCCTGCACCTGAGGATCCAGCACAGGTGAGGACCCTTCAGGCTCAAGCCCCAGCTCAGCTGGTTCTGGAGGCGGGGAATCCTGTGCAGGCTGGGATTCCTCAGGTTCAGCCTCCGAGTCTGAATCCCAGACCATCACACTTCCTCTTGCATGTGACTAGAGGTGGGTGTGACCTTACCTGCCCAGGTAACAAAAAGGGCAAGGCACACAACACACTTTCTTCCTTTCGACTCTTCTCCATCTTCCTTTCGTTGTGTGAACTGCAGGACTGCTAACCTGTAGACACTGGGATTATTCCCCCATATGGGATCGATCCAAATGTATATACTTTATAACTAAGTCTGCCTTCAGGGATCCAACTGTGAACTGATGATGTGAGTAAACTTATGTACTTTAAACAAGATTGTGGTGTGTTCATTCTTTTAAGAGGGATAATAAGGGGATTTAAAGGTAAAGGTAAAAGGACCCCTGAACATTAGGTCCGGTCGTAGCCGACTCCGGGGTTGCGGCGCTCATCTTGCTTTATTGGCCGAGGGAGCCGGCGTACAGCTTCCAGGTCATGTGGTTAGCATGACTAAACTGCTTCTGGGGAACCAGAGCAGCGCACGGAAATGCCATTTACCTTCCCGCCGGAGTGGTACCTATTTATCTACTTGCACTTTGATGTGCTTTCAAACTGCTAGGTTGGCAGGAGCAGGGACCGAGCAACGGGAGCTCACCCCGTTGCGGGGATTTGAACTGCCGACCTTCTGATCAACAAGTCCTAGGCTCTGTGGTCTAGCCCACAGCGCCACCCGTGTCCCAATAAGGGGACTTACTAGGAACCTTATTGTGAGAGGCTTAAACAAGCCTGCAACCAGCTATCTGCTGTGCGTTTAAAAGGGGAATGTAAAACTCTGCTAAATTATAGAACTTGCTAGCGCAAGTTAAGAAGGATATTAATAAACAATACAGTGGTACCTCAGGTTAAGTACTTAATTCATTCCAGAGGTCCGTTCTTAACCTGAAACTGTTCTTAACCTGAAGCACCACTTTAGCTAATGGGGCCTCCCGCTGCCGCCGCACCGCCGGAGGTACTATTTCTGGGTTAGCAGCGTCTGTAACCTGAAGCATCTGTAACCCGATGTACCACTGTATATCCTCTCCTGCCTCCCTGAACATTCCCACAGTGAGACTAAGATATGTGAGGAAGTCTAGCATCAAACATTGTTTGTTGGCCGATGCCAGTCTGCAATATGAGGGACTTCCGAGAAGGTTCTCTGCAAGCTCTGAAGCCACTTACTCTCTCAAGCTGTTCTTAAAGTCTTCAAATTCCAGCTCCTTGGTCCCTTTCTGCAAAGCTTTTTGCACGTCAGAGATCCGGTCTTTTTTCAGCTTCAGCTTCATTAGGGTCCTATTATAGCCCTAGAGTTAAAAGATGCATGGAAAAATTCAGCCTTGCTGCCTCACCCTGCTGCAGGCAGAGAGAAGAGGTATGGCAGCAACACGAACAGTCTGGAATATGGTCACAATGAAATCAGAATTCACAAGACATCAAAGTGAGTTCACATGCCCCCCCCCTCACACCTTCCAGTTCTCTCTGCAGTGTGTCTGAAGAGCTTAATAATAATAATAATAATAATAATAATAATAATAATAATAATGGTGGAGAGCGGCTTGCATAATAATAATAATAATAATAATAATAATAATAATAATAATATAAAAAATAATTTTGATTATATATACCCCACCCATTTGGGCATCTAACAGCATACAGTGGTACCTCGGGTTAAGAACTTAATTCATTCTGGAGGTCTGTTCTTAACCTGAAACTGTTCTTAACCTGAAGCACCACTTTAGCTAATGGGGCCTCCTGCTGCTGCCGCGACACCGGAGCACGATTTCTGTTCTCATCCTGAAGCAGAGTTCTTAACCCAAGGTAATATTTCTGGGTTAGCGGAGTCTGTAACCGGAAGCGTATGTAACCTGAAGCGTATGTAACCCGAGGTACCACTGTATTTAAAAACATAATAAAACCATCAAGCATTAAAAACCTCCTGATACAAGGCAGCCTTTAGATGTTTTCTAAAAGTTATGTAATTCTTTATCTCCTTGACATCTGGTGGGAGGGCGTTCCACAGGGGAGGCACTACTACTGACAAGGTCCTCTGCCTAGTTTCCCGTAACTTTGCTTCTTGCAGTGAGGAAACCACCAGAAGGCCCTTGAAGTTGGACCTTAGGCTGATTGATGGGGGTGGAGACACTGGGCCGAGGCCATTTAGGGCTTTAAAGGTCAGCTCCAACACTGTGAATTGGGCTCGGAAATGTACTGGGAGCCAGTGAAGATCCTTTAGGATCAGTGTTATATGGTCCTGCTGGCCACTCCCAGTCACCAGTCTAGCTGCCGCATTCTGGATTAGTTGTATTTTCTGAGTCCCCTTCAAAGGTAATGTTAAGTTGTGGGTGAACATATCAGACGACACAGCGATTCTTCAGAGAGCTCTTGTTTATTCACAGGCCAGAACAGAACTGAACTGAAAGGTTCAGCCAGCCTGCTTATATAGAGCTCCACTACAATGCAACAGGAACCACTTTCTGTAACTATCCAATCCCTGAACGCCACTTTCGATCCCTTATTTGCATATGTGGACCCATAGGCGCCGACTCCATGGGGCTTGAGGGGGCCCGAGCCCCCTCAAAAATTCGTTTGGGGGGGCTCCGCCCCCCCAATAATCTCCGGCGCCCCTCCAGCAGAGCGCCATCGCCGCCCCTCCCCCAGCCCAAAATGCACAGGGAGGGACGGGCTGCATGCCTCCTGCCCTCCCTCCCGAGCAAAAGCTCCACCCAATTTCCTTTGGAGCTGATTAATAGGCGCAGCACGCTCTCCCCTATTCGCTCACGAGGAGGCGGCGCCACTTTATTTGCATATTCATGAGCTTATTTATTATTCATGAGCTTTCCCGGGCCCCCCCCCAATATTTTTTATAAGTCCGCGTCCCTGTGTGGACCTGAGTGAAAACTATCTACAGTATCCCCCTGCTGGCCCAGGGTGAGAACTTCAGTACGTAACAGGTAGCCCCATGTAGAGCGTATTGCAGTAGTCCAAGGGGGAGATAAGCTGTTCCTCCCTCTTCCCTCTTCCCGGCACCCAGTGTGATGGATAACAGTGGGGCAGAAGGACCCAAAGTTTTGTGGACCTTGAGGAAATTATGCATCCCAAGGGTTGCTGGGGTTCTGCATGCCAGGGTGCTGCCATGTAGCATCTGAAGCTGCAGAAATCAAGAGGAGGAAAAGACTGCCCTTCTTTTCCCTCCTTACGGCTTCTGTAGCAGAGCCTTTGTTGTCTCAGGATGTGGGGGTTCAAAAGGAAAGGGGTGTGTGTGTTTCTGTAGCAGGTCACCTGATTTTGAAGCTGGGGTGGGGGATTTTGTCTAGAGTCAACCTTAATCCTCTATCAGGTTTATCCCCCCCCCCATTCATTGACAGGATTCAAACAAAGACCCCAAATTCCCCTTTCCCCATCACCTATTGTTTCCCAGAAAAGCCTTATAATGGCGAGCGTGCAAACCCTCCGAAACATAATCCACATTTCACAGGTGAGGAAATGTGTATTACAGTTAATGAAGGAACCTGTTTCAGGATGTCTGTGAGCTGCAATTCATTCTTCTGGTTTGAAAGCTCCTCTTTGACTTCAGAATACGTGTCGTTGATAATAGCCAGGAACATGTTCTGTGGGAAGAGAAACAGAAGGGTCGGTTCCTCCATGTGGACTAGACACATAAAGCCCCCTCTTTGCTCCATGGAGCAAATGAAAGTAAATTATACCTCCCAACTTTAACACTTCAAGAATATATATATATGCTCAACTGCTGTCATAAATAATGTAGTCTTTCACACTCCACCTATTTAGTGGCAGTGCTAAAAAGAAGGAAATGTCCCACAAGCCACCTAGTTGAGTGCTGGGGGGGGGGAGGGACACAGTCATTGTATTATAGTCCCCATAATCCCTGACCATTGCATACCCTCTCGCATGAAAATAGGGACGCCCCCTTCCATAATGATAATTTTACTATTTATACCCCACACATCTAGGGACGTGGGTGCTGTGGTCTAAACCACTGAGAATAGGGCTTGCCGATTGGAAGGTCGGCAGTTCGAATCCCCGCGACGGGGTGAGCTCCCGTTGCTCTGTCCCAGCTCCTGCCAACCTAGCAGTTCGAAAGCACACCAGTGCAAGTAGATAAATGGTGGGAAGGTAAACGGCGTTTCCGTGCGCTGCTCTGGTTCGCCCGAAGCGGCTTAGTCATGCTGGTCACATGACTCGGCCAATAAAGCGAGATGAGCGCCACAACCCCAGAGTCGTCTGTGACTGGACCTAATGGTCAGGGGTTCCTTTACCTTTACCCCACACATCCTACTGAGTTGCCCCAGCCACTCTGGGCTGTTTCTAGCACATATAAAAACATAATAAACATTGAAAAAACTTCCCTATATAGGATTGCCACCAGATGGCTTGGGGGGGGGTCAAATAACTCCATACCCTCCCCAACATTTCTCCAGTGAAAATAGGGCCATCCTACCAAACCCTCCAACATTTCTCCAATGAAAATAGGGACGTCCTAAGGAAAAGCAGGACATTCCGGGATCAAATGAGAAACTGGGACGGCTTCTCTAAATCAGGGACGTCCCTGGAAAATAGTGACACCTGGAGGGTTTGCCATTGGCCATGCTGGTTCGGGCTGATTAGAGCTGGAGCCCAAAAACCTTTGGAGGGCTACAGGTTCCCCCACCCATGACCTAGACAAACTGAGAAGAAAAGAAGATGGAGGCGCAAAACTCTTCTTCACGACACCACTTATAAGCACTCTTTCTTGAGACTTGCTCGATGCAAAGAACTGCTGCTTGCTCCAGGTAGCACTGCTTTGAGCAATCCCGAATAAAATATACAAGCACTTTTGTTTCGTTAAGTCTGCCACCGCTGCTTTACACTCCCTGTATCATAGGGGCCAATGCCCTGGGGGCCTGGGGGCCCGAGCACCCACAAAATTCCCCATGAAGGGGCTGGGCACCCACAAATTTCAGTGCCAGAGAAGAAGAAGAAGAAGAAGAAGAAGAAGAAGAAGAAGAAGAAGAGGAGGAGGAGGAAGAGGAGGAGGAGTTTGGATTTGATATCCCGCTTTCTCACTACTCTAAGGAGTCTCAAAGCGGATAACATTCTCCTTTCCCTTCCTCCCCCACAACAAACACTCTGTGAGGTGAGTGGGGCTGAGAGACTTCAGAGAAGTGTGACTAGCCCAAGGTCACCCAGCAGCTGCATGTGGAGGAGCGGGGAAGCGAACCCGGTTCACCAGATTACGAGTCTACTGCTCTTAACCACTACACCACACTGGCATGGCACCCACATTCCCGGGCTTCCCATGATCACGAGGCCAAGCTGGGAGTCCTGCCATCTTGTTTGCAATATTTTCTTGGTGTAAAGCAGCGATACTTCCCAAATCTAGAACAAAGCCCTACATTGAACTGTTGTGACAATAATCTGTTTGTTTGTTTGTTTGTTTGTTTGCCTGATGGTGTATAACTTGAGAACAGCATCTAATATATTCCAAAACGCAGGAGGTCTTGGAGTGGTTTCCAGCCGGCTTTTTCGCAGCTTCATCTCTTTGCAAAATACCAATGCATTTGCTCCTATCTACTTGGCTCAGAGCTCACATCACTTCATACCCTCCAACATTTTTCCAAAGAAAAAAGGGACGTCTTAAGGGAAAGTGGGGCATTCTGGGATCAAATCAGAAACAGGGACAGCTTCTGTAAATCCAGGACTGTCCCTGGAAAATAGGGACACTTGAGAAACAGCAGTAATCTCTGTAAAAGGTAAAGGTAAAGGGACCCCTGACCATTAGGTCCAGTCGTCGCCGACTCTGGGGTTGCGGTGATCATCTAACTTTATTGGCCGAGGGAGCCGGCGTCCAGCTTCCAGGTCATGTGGCCAGCATGACTAAGCCGCTTCTGGCGAACCAGAGCAGCACACGGAAACGCCATTTACCTTCCCGCCGGAGCGGTACCTATTTATCTACTTGCACTTTGACGTGCTTTCGAACTGCTAGGTTGGCAGGAGCAATAGAAAGCAATAGCGCACAACTTACCAACAGCACAAAGAAGACAAAGAAGACGTAGGTGACAAAATATATCGGCCCCAAGACCCGGTTAGCGTTGTCAATGGCGTTGTAGTCAAAGTCGCCGAGGATTATTCGAAACTGGGTGAAGCTGGAAGGTAGGAAGAGGGTGAGGGTCAGCAATGTATGGCAGAATGCCTCGCTGGGTGCAGAAAATAAGTTCAAGTGGTAAATATGTCACCGTGCATCCCTAGACCTTGAATGGAGGAGCTCAGGGCTTCGGCAGTCTAGAAGCAGAGCTTTGTAGTGTTGTGCTGGGCTTGTAGGATCTCTACTTCCCATGACAGAACCTTCTGTGCACAAAACTGAAGTTGTAAGGTTAGTGCCTCAGTGGGGAACCTCTTCATCCCACCAGGTTTCCCCATTTGGTCCATGAAGTAGTTTGGACCAAACAAGAACCACCTGTCCATTTCCTGAAATCACTGGGCATCAGGTGCAGGGCAGGTCAACCTGTCTGGCCAAATTCAAGCAGAAAGTGGGGGGCTGCTTGCATCCGTAATAGCTTATGATATCCTTAATGAGAGAGATTAGGGTCAGAAGCTGTCAGGGACTGGGCAGAGGGGGAATGGTGGAGACCACCTCCCCATCCTGACCCTTCCAGGGAGGAGGAAGAGGAAGACCGTATAGATTTACAGCAGGGAGTTGAGGAAGGTAGCAGCTCAGTGCTTACCAACCTCTGTGGTGGCATGCGACCAAAAACCTTAAAGGAGGGTGAGGAGGAGGAGAAGGAAAGCGAGGCCCACTCACATGCATTTGACAAAGGTGCTGAAGTTTTCCACTTGGGTCCCGAAGAGAAGGTATCCCAGCTGGGCGTAGGCAAAGAAGACGATGAAGAACATGATGGCAAAGCCTAGGATGTCCTTGGCGCAGCGGGCTAAGGTGGAGGAGAGCTGTGTCATCGTTTTGTTAAAGCTAATGTATTTGAATATCTGGATGGGGAAGGAAAAGAGAAGGACAGGTTAAGGTGAGATGGGATGAGGAGAAAGCCTGGGGGAATTTATGGACTTCCTCTCAAGTGACAAAGATTGACGCTAATGGGCGCTAATGGTATACAGTGGTACCTCAGGTTACATATGCTCCAGGTTACATACGCTTCAGGTTACAGACTCCACTAACCCAGAAATAGTGCTTCAGGTTAACAACTTTGCTTCAGGATGAGAACAGAAACCGTGCTCCGGCAGCGCGGCGGCAGCAGGAGGCCCCATTAGCTAAAGTGGTGCCTCAGGTTAAGAACAGTTTCAGGTTAAGTACGGAGCTCCGGAACGAAATAAGTACTTAACCTGAGGTACCACTGTACCTCAGATGCAGGTCTTCTGTGGCTGATGGTTTGAGGGAGCAGGGTGTGTCTGTTCCATACTCTCCTACACACCTCTGTTGAAAATAGAAAATGTCCCCTCCAATATGGGGTTGTCTGTATGTGTATCAGGTTGTAAGGGGTTGTACTGTGGTTGTGCAACAATTTTCCAAACAGGCCTGTTTTATTCGTGACAAAAGGGGCAGACATTGCACACAACATCCGATAGGTGGCTCCCTCTGCAAGTTTTGTCGCCCTGGAAATTTCTCATTTCAACATTTACCGTAAAACGCATTCACCCCATATTGTCTGGCCAGCAGCTGCTGCCTTAGCCTTCAATGGAGCAGCGAAACCTGAATGACTTTTGAACTACTCAGGACTTCACCCAGCCAATGAAAGCATGCCGTCCTCAGCCAGCTTGAGTACAGCACATAAATAGTTTTTGACAAAAACCAGAGAGGGAGAATGATATGCCTTGTAAAGAACCACAGTTAAAAGTGTTGAGGGGTCCATTTCCAGCACGTTTCCAGCATAGCTGTCAACTTACAGATTTGAAAATAAGGGACCAGCAGCCTTGAAAATAAAGGACCAGCAGCCAGAATAAGGGATTTTAGTCAACGAGTTAAAAGCGACCAGATAATTTTGGAGAGCAGCGCCGGTGTTTAGCCCTTCGTTTCCAGAGGTTGCTGCTCAAGACACCAGCCGATGAAACACTGCAATTAAATAACTACATGCAGCAACCACTTTTCGCGCTAAACAAAGTCCAAGCTATGAAGATGCTGCTGCAGTTCTGTATCTTTTCTCTCATGCTCCATCTGCAGCTCTCAATTCCATCAGGTGGGGCGGGAGGAAGGGGGGGGGGAAATAGCGCCCGAAGTAAACCCGCAGATCAGACCATCTATGCTAGTCTACCACTACAAATCTATGGGAGAAGCGCTTGCGGTCCTTCCCTTGTAGCCCTTGGAACACCTGCCAGCACCTCCGCCTCCTCCTCTTCCTCCTCTCTCTGAACTGCTTTCTCTATGGTTGTCCTCGCTCTCCTCTCCTCTGGTGAGAGGAGGCTGGAGGGGGGCGGGCCGGGCAGCCAAGCAACACAATTGGAGCCTCCCTCCTCCCTGGCCGGCAGGGAGAGGAGCTGCTTCCTTTGAAACCCGGGAAATTTAAGGGACATCCATCAATAAGGGACAGCAGCGGGACATGGCGCTGGGATAAGGGACTGTCCCTCCAAATAAGGGACGCTTGACAGCTATGGTTTCCAGTTGCTGTGGTACAGTTGCCACCCATCCTGTATTATACAGGATCATCCCACATTTCAATGTAAAATACTACATCCTGTATTCATTCAATACAGCATGTGGTTTGCCCTGTATTTCCGCTCTGCCGTGTGCCTCGGATGTGACTTCTGGTGTTTCACGAGGCACCAGAAGTTGTGTTGGGGGCCATGCGGTGTGGGTGCTGGGCACCCAACAAAAAATTTTGGTGGGTGCTCGAGCACACAGGGTCCCCTAGAGATGGCACCCTTGGAGGGCAGGGGAGAAGATGAGGGTGATGGAGAATGAGCAGAGATATGATAGACATCTTCAAGTATCTGAAGGGCTGTCACATGGAGGAGGGAACAAGCTTGTTTTCTCCTGCTCTGGAGAGTGGGACCAGAACCCATGGCTTCAAGTTACAAGAAAGGAGATCCCAACTAAACATCAGGAAGAACTTCCTGACAATAAGAGTTGTTCAATAGTGGAACGGTCTCCCTTGAGAGGTTGTGAACTCTCCTTCCTTGGAGGTTTAGAAGCAGAGGTTGGGTAGCCATCTATCATAGATGCATCAGTTGAGATTTCTGCAGGGCTTGGGTTAGATGGCGCTTGGGGTCCCTTCCAACTCCACGAATCTACGATTCTATGCATAATGTAGATGCTCCATCCTAGGAGTGCTGGAATCTTTGGCTGACAACAGACGGATTCATAGTCAGGAAGCCAAGTTTTTATCTTGCATATCGCCCTGTTATCCTCAGATGAAGGGCAGTATAGAAATCAGATAGATAAATATATAGATGATAGCTAGCTAGATAGATGATAGATAGATAGATGATAGATAGATAGATGATAGATAGATATAGATGATAGATGATAGATAGATAGATGATAGATAGATAGATAGATAGATAGATAGATAGATAGATAGATATAGATAGATAGATATAGATAGATGATAGATGATAGATGATAGATGATAGATGATAGATGATAGATGATAGATAGATGATAGATAGATAGAGAGAGAGAGAGATACCTTGATCCAGGCAAAGAACAAGTTCACAGCGTTCATGTTGTTGTACTGAGTCTGCCAAAAAGCCAGGAATTCAAAGTCCGCATAGATGCTGGGGTTTCTCAGAAGCTGTCCCATCAACCTGTTGACCTCAATGGTGCGAAAGATGTGGAATCCGATGGCTACAATAGAAAGCTGAGGGGAAAACCCTGGGATTTAAAGGAAATTCTACGGAGAGTGGAGCCTCATCATTCTTTTGGACTTTCTGTAGCCATATTGCTCGACTACACCAGGGGTGGGGAACGTCACATATGACATCAGGTGTGAGAAAGGTTGGTTTGGCCCAAAGGGACTTTGACAGCACTACTTGTTGTCGGGTGCTTTAGAACTGCTGAACAACTTGTTATGCCAGCCTTGTGCTTGGTGCCTAGGAAAGATACCATGCCCTATCACACCCTCCTAATGAAGGTGTCCCAATGAAGGTTCATTAGGTGAAAGTTCATTTTCGAATGAAGACTATTGGGGCAGGGCAGTTTCTCTTGTCGCCTGCTAATTACTCGAGAAACACATATGATTTCTGCAAAGGTGAGATTGCAATCATACATAACATAGACAGCTGCTTCGCATATTGCATACCACCAGTGCTGGATTTACCTATAAGCTAAACAAGCTATAGCTTAGGGCCCCACTCTCTTGGGGCCCCTAAAAAAATTAAAGAAAAAAAACCTGGATGTACATTTCCAAAATATAAGATAAAAAACAAATAAACCTACATGCAGCAGGTATTGGTGTTGTGTAGGCTCCTATGATGTAAGTCATGGGCCCCGCCTGCTAGCCTGCTCCCTAAAATATCACCGGTTTGCTGATTTCTATATATAGGGTGCCTACATTCTGCAGGGAATGGTTGCATGGCAACATGTAGACTGCAATGCAGCACAGTTGAATTTTAGGTCAAGCTGTTGTACCTGTTATCTAATATTAAAATACATATTTTGTTATGTGCAAATGGCTTTAGATACCTATGAGGTCCATAAATTATCCTATAGCATATATTCAACACAAAAAATAGTGACAATCTGTTGTTGACAAAGGACAGCTGCACATATAAAGGGCCCCATTACCTTCAGTAGCCTAGGGCCTCATCAAACCTAAATCCCGGCCCTGCATACCATCCAAGTGTCCCTGTTTTCCAGGGACTGTCCCAGATTTACAGAAGCTGTCCCAGTTTCTGATTTGACCCCAGAATGTCCCCCTTTTGCTTAGGACGTCCCTATTTTCATCAGATGAATGTCGGAGGGTATGTTGTTTCCCTGTCTTTCTCTGATCTGCGCTGCTCTCCTTGTCAGCTCCCGGACAACCTTAGTCTTTGGTGGAGGGGCGGTTGCAGCCTCCGCCTGCCCCTCTAAAAGTGCAGAGGTATCCTGTTAAAGGGATCCAGGAGGAGCTGCTTTTGTCTGGAAACCCAGTGTCAGGAGTCCAGGTTCTCAGCTTGATAACACAGTAAGCGTAGCTAATTAAAAAGGAGGATTTATTGCAAAAAAACCAAACCCAGATAGCTCCAGGCGGCTTGAACAAAGCCTCCGGTACCATTATTCAAGATGACCCTTCTGAAGACTGCATGACCAGAAGCAACTGAGCTTTCGCTTCTGACGTCTTTTGTTTTGCTTCCTATCTTGCAGCACCCTCATTCGTCGAGATCTCAGACTGAGTGGGTCAGCTCCCGCCTCTTCCCCGTTCTCTGAGAGGCTGTCTCTTCACTCTTTCCTGCCTGTTTGTACTTCCGGCGAGCCTTGACTGAGTTCTAGCCTGCTCTCTGTTCCTGTCTTATCAGCTTGCACATCAAGGTCAGGAGGAGCCGGAGTATGCAGCTGCTGGTTTTCCTCCATCTGACTAACATCAAAGCAGCCTCTCTGTTCCTGGCTGTTTTCTGCATTTAGCTGCAACCTTTCGCTGGGAGCTGACTCATTCCTGACACCCAGGCAGGGGTGAGGGCCATAGCACTCCTCAAGGTGTCAATCCCACGGGGGGACCTCCTTGATCTGTGTCATTAGGTCCTCTTCTCCTTGGGTTGACCCCTAACGGTATATACCTCAGCAGGCAGGCTGATGGTCAAATTAGTTCCCCAATACCTTGCCAAACCCTTCATCTGTCATCAATAAAAGTTGTGGCCTTCTTGGACCCAAGCTATGTGTCTTTCCTGTGTAATCATTCAATGGTTTGTTCAATATGAATGGAAAGAAATCTCACCAATATGACAACGATGTCCAAGATGTTCCAGATGCTGGTGAAGTACTTGAGCCTGTGAATGCGCAGCTCCAAGATCTCTTCCACCACGTAGTAGAAGATGAAGACGCAGAAGACAATCTCGCAAGCGACAATGAAGAAGTCCCAGGTGCTGACGTAGCGGAGGAGCTTTACTGTTCGGATCTGCCACGAAGGGATGGCTCCACCGGTGGCTGGGAATTCAATCACTAACCTAATATGGAGGGAAGAGGATGCGTATGGGCAAAAACCAATGCTGCATTTTCCATTGACGTGCCTCAAAGAAGAATGGCAGATCAATAGGCATATAAACAAAACATGATTGAAAGATGAACTCACCCGCTCTGCAAATTGGTTTTGTAACTATTCTGCAGTCTTTGGTAATAATTCTTATTAGTTTTCAATTGCATTCCAATAATTGCCTCATTATAACAATGCCAAATTATAATACAATTACTAATACCAATCATCCTGATACCAAATTAAATACAGTGGTACGCCGGGTTAAGAAGTTAATTAGTTCTGTAGGTCCATTCTTAACCTGAAACTGTTCTTAACCTGAAGCACCACTTTAGCTAATGAGGCCTCCCGCTGCTGCCACACGATTTATGTTCTCATCCTTTAGCAAAGTTCTTAACCTGAGGTACTATTTCTGGGTTAGTGGAGTCTGTAACCTGAAGTGTCTGTAACCTGAAGCGTCTGTAACCCGAGGTAAAAGGTAAAGGTAAAGGTACCCCTGCCCGTCAGGGCCAGTCGTGACTGACTTTAGGGTTGCGCGCTCATCTCGCTCAAGAGGCTGGGAGCTGGCACCGTCCGAAGACACTTCCGGGTCACGTGGCCAGCGTGACGAAGCTGCATCTGGCGAGCCAGCACCAGTGCCGCACACGGAAACGCCGTTTTACCTTCCCGCTAGAAAGCGGTCCCTATTTATCTACTTGCACTATGATGTGCTTTCGAACTGCTAGGTGGGCAGGAGCTGGGACCGAACGACGGGAGCTCACCCCACCACGGGGATTCGAACCGCCGACCTTTCGATCAGCAAGTCCTAGGCTCTGTGGTTTAACCCACAGCGCCACCCGCGTCCCAACGTAACCTGAGGTACCACTGTAATTTAGGTGACCCCCCCCAGCTGTCAATGTTTTCCTTTTTTTAAGGGAAATTCCTTTATTCTGAATAGGATTCCTTGCAAGAAAAGGGAAAAGTTGACAGCTATGACCGCCCCCCGCGTGCTAGAATTGATGGTTTGACGATTTTCTTTATTTCTGCGTTCCAAAATCTTATTAATTTCAATCGCACTCCAGTCAAGATAACAATTCTTTATATAACAACTGCAATATTAACAACTTCCCTTTGTATTGACACATTGAATGATATATGAAATGGGTAATAGATGGTTTCGCAGAAATGAACAGGAGAAGAGGGAAGAGCTGCTCACTCACCTCAGGACGCAGAAAAGGTTGATATTGGCATTGTACACAGAAAAGTCAATGAAAACCACGCGAGTTCCCCGATTCAGCCACAAGTTTTCTTTCAGGACTCGGAGAGCTCTAGCGCTTTCCCGACGGGTCATTTTGAGATCCATGTAATAACCTCCTCCGCTGTAACTTGTCAGTCGTCCCCAGTGAGAGGAACCGTCCAGCTCTTCCTCTGTGTGGTACTGCCACCTGCACACAGAAGGCGCGGCAAGAGAAAGAAGCGGCTGATGGACAAATCCAAAATGTTATCTATTCCAGACTTGGGATGCCATGTTCATATTGGACATGAATTCCCCCCCAAAAAAGATTTTAATTAATGCCCCAGAGGTGCACACAACCAGTAACACAGTTCTTGGGACTCCGGCCAATATTCTTTACATCAAATATTTTCAGAACCCTTTATGCGACGTTGGCTCAGTCTGTGCCGAAACAAGGCCTGGAGCGAATGCACAGGCTTCCAGAATGGAGATTATGGCTGGCCTCTTTGCTCTCCCACAGCTCCTCCTGTTTGGCTCCATGGTTAGGCTTAGCATGTTATCCGAACCCTGGGCTCATGGTTTATCTAAAGGTAAGAACTATCACCTTGAAGGGACGCGGGTGGCACTGTGGGTTAAACCACAGAGCCTAGGACTTGCCGATCAGAAGGTCAGAGGTTCGAATCCCCGCAACGGGGTGAGCTCCCGTTGCTCGGCCCCTGCTCCTGCCAACCTTTACAGAAGCCATCCCGGTTTTTTATTTGATCCTGGAATGTCCCACTTTTCCCTAAAGGTAAAGGTAAAGGGACCCCTGACCATTAGGTCCAGTCGTGACCGACTCTGGGGTTGCGGTGCTCATCTCGCTTTATTGGCCGAGGGAGCTGGCGTACAGCTTCCGGGTCATGTGGCCAGCATGACTAAGCCGCTTCTGGCGAACCAGAGCAGCGCACAGAAACACCATTTACCTTCCCGCTGGAGCGGTACCTATTTATCTACTTGCACTTTGACGTGCTTTCGAACTGCTAGGTTGGCAGGAGCAGGGACTGAGCACCAGGAGCTCACCCCATCGTGGGGATTCGAACCGCTGACCTTCTGATCGGCAAGTCCTAGGCTCTGTGGTTTAACCCACAGCACCACCCGCATCCCTAGGATCTCCCTATTTTCATCGGAGAAATGTCAGAAGGTATGGAGTTATGTGACTTCCGAGCCAAGGAGATAAGTAACTATACAACCTTTAGAAGACACCTGAAGGCAGCCCTGTCTAGGGAATTTTTAAAAAATGTTTAATGTTTTATTATGTTTTCATGTATTTTGGAACCTGCCCAGAGTAGCTGGGGCAACCCAGTCAGATAGGTGGGGTATAAACAGAATAAAATAATGAATAGAATAAAAATAAAATAGAACATGCCTATTTTCATCAGAAAAACGTTGGAGGATATGAAGGTGTAGAAATTACTTTTGCTTTCCAACCAGTGCCAGATTTACGTATAAGCTAAACAAGCTATAGCCACCCCAAAAAATAAAGGGGAAAAAACTGGATGTATATTTCCAAAATATAAGATAAAAAACAAATAAAATAAAACCTACATACAGCAACAGTGTTTTGTGTTGTGTAGGCTCCTGTGATGTAAGTCATGGGCCCCACCTGCTATCCTGCTCCCTAAAATATCACTGGTTTGCTCATTTCTATATATAGGGTGCCTACATTCTGCAGGGAATGGTTGAATGGCAACATGTGCAGATGGCTTTAGATACCTATTACGTCCATAAATTTCCATATAGCATATATTCAACGTGAAAAACAGCGCCCATTTGTTGTTGACAAAGGGCAGCTGGACATATAAAGGGCCTCATTACCTTCACTGGCTTAGGGTCTCATCAAACCTAAATCTAGCCCTGTTTCCAACAGTGGAGAGGATGACCAAATTCTTAGTTTGTGAAACTCAAGAAAGGCAGAAGTTATGATCTACTCACGCTGTTCCATTGAGGAGCCCAAAGGGGGACCTGTCTTCCTTCTCCTCACTGTAGACATCATAACAGCCAAAAATGTCTTCCTTGAAGTCTTCGTGCACCACACACGAGTTGTTCTGCACCTTCAGTTGACGCATTCGTGGGACCCCCAGCAGCAAGTTCTCGTAATAGATGTACGACTGAGTGTTGTGGCCTAGAGATTCGTTGTTGTACCATTTGGTCCAATACAAGCTGTCCAATAAAGGGCCTTGAGTATACTGCAGAGATATGCAGAAAGGGGCAAGAAGAAGGATATGAGATCTGAGACAGCAACAACACACAGAATGGCTGGAGACTGGAATCTAATGAAAATGATTTATAGGTGGTACATAACACCAGTCAAGCTTGCAAAAATCTACCATATGCCTGATAATAAATGTTGGAAATGTAAGGAGACTGAAGGTACATTCTTTCACCTTTGGTGGACATGCCCAAGGATTAAGAATTTCTGGGAGATGATTTATAATGAAATGAAAAAGGTATTTAAATATACCTTCCTGAAGAAACCAGAGGCCTTTCTCCTGGGCATGGTCGGCCAATTGGTGCCAAAGAAGGATAGAACTTTTTTTATGTATGCTACAACAGCAGCAAGAATACTCATCGCAAAGCACTGGAAGACGCAAGATCTACCCACCCGGGAAGAATGGCAGATGAAGTGATGGACTACATGGAATTGGCGGAAATGACTGGCAGAATCCGAGACCAGGGAGAAGAGTCAGTGGAAGAAGATTGGAAAAAATTCAAAGTATATTTACAGAAATACTGCAAAATTAATGAATGTTAGAAGGATGCTGGAATGAAGCTACATGGTTTTAGCAGAAATGTTATAAAGAACTAAGTAAAAATAGATTGTCAATGGGCCAAAGTGTAAAATTTAAGGTCAGAATGTGTTAAGATATATTATAGAACAAAAATTGAGAAAGATGGAAAGGATTTACTGAAATAGCTAATTGAACTAGAATACAAAAAAGGGAGGTGTGAGGAGGTCGATGAAACAAGTAAATGAAAGGTGAAGATACGGAAATATTGGATGTGTTTTTAAGTGTTTTTGTTTCTCTTATTGTTTTGATGTATTGTTTTCTGTTTTTATTTTTATTTTTGATGTATTGTAATTTTTTATTGTCTTTCTTTTTTCTCTTTTTTTTTGTAACTATTAAACTTCTAATAAATATCATTTAAAGAAAAAAAACAGAATGGCCGGAGACTGGAAACTAGCGTTGCCATATTCCCAAAATCCACACAAAGTTGTTGGAACTTTTGGGGGGAACATCCCCTCCTCCCATCAAGTTTTCGGGCTTTTCTCAGATTTTTAAAGCATTTTATAAAAAAGAAATCGCCCTAATTGCCATATGTTTGGATTTCCCCAGACATTTTGCCGATTCAGCAAAAATCCGCCCGGGCGCCATTTTTGCAACCCGATTCCCGTATGTGTCCAGGAAAACCCGCATGAATAGCAGCCCTACTGGAAAACTGCCTTTCTCCTATGGCTAAATGTATTATTGGGTTCTGTTTGCAGAGAATCTCAGTTTAAAACGGGATGGGGGCAATTAGGACTCTCCTTGTATAACGGGCCTCCCTAAAAGGTTGGGGAGCAGAGCCAAGTTGGGAGTGCACTGGGGGTGAGGCAAGCAGATAAGAGTTATGACTCTGAGCACCCAAGGGTGGGAGAGTCCCTTTGTGTGTGCTGGGGGAAGTATCTTTGCCAACGGGCTACTAGCTGACATGTGCACAAATTGCTAACGCATGATGGCATGGGCTGTGTGTACATTTTCTCACATAGCTCATTGTGCAGTCACCAACACAATTGACTCCCAAGTCCAGGCAGGCTTGATGTCTATACAAATTGAAAAGGAACCCTGATCAGCTGGGATGAATAGGTCGTTCTATTTTTGGCCTGGGTCTCTATCACATGGGTTCATTCGTAAGTCCATACCATTCATTTTCTCCCTTCATTCGAATGTTTAAAAAAGAGTCTTCAAAGATTGTTTTCAAATACACATTTTATCACAAAAATACATATTTAAACATGTATTTTATAGCAATATTTTAAAGTGCATATTTAAACCTAAAATGCACACATTTCTTCTTTAAACATTTTTGGAGCTAAGAATTGTTTTGCAAAGTTCAGAGAGGTGCAAAATCCAAAGAATGCAAAATCCACGTGTTCCGGAGGCACAAATTTGCTTTCAAATGTGGACCGAATGAAAATTTCCCCCTGTTCCTGCTAATCCATTTTGAGCTGTTGGATGAACAGCTTTCAGCTAAACCTGTGCCGATTTGTAAGTCAGTTAGGTATGATAAAGCGTGTTCTCCTTGAAATGAGAGCACGTGTTGCAGTGGGGTCTGCTAAGCCAACCCTCTGTTGCCAGGCAGGTTAAAAGTGAGCTGGCCTGGGGCAACGATTGGATGGTCGGGTTGCTGGGGCAAATTGCATGGGGACCAAAGGCTTTAAATATTGGGGCACTCAGCTTTTGCTTTTGCTTTCTCTTTCGCTGAGGGCATCGGATCACCTGCGCGCCCGCCCTGAGTTCCGGTTGACCTTGCTATACCTGTCATGGGGTCGTCTGCTCTCGGGGCAGGGGCCTAGTAGGAATTTTGTCCATTTGGCTGATTGGCTGGTGCCATTTGGTTTTTGCCTACCACTTAGCAATTCGTCACAACTTGTAAGGTTGCGGTTAGGCATTGGTTATAAAAATTGGTTGGAGGAGGGGTCAGGATAGGCTGGGCCTGCCCCTCCAATGGTGGTGTGGAAGGGAATTCCGTTAAAGGAATCCAGGGGCTTGCCACGATTTTGTCCAATCCCTGAAATGAGACCAGGGCCGGCAAGCCCTGGGGAGCAGGTTGGGTGAGCGGTGAGTGCCTGTGACTCAGCTCCATTGCTCCCCAATATTGTTTTCCCTTCACTGGCTTCCGAGGGAGTTTGGAAGTCAGTTCTGTCCCAGGCGGGGGGACAGATAGTCTTAACCAATGCCTAAGCAACCACTCACTGATTTTGTATTTTAATAAAGTTGTGGCCAAAATTATGCCAAAAACCTTGAACAAAAATTATGTGTGAATTGTGAATTATTTTGAGGGGTGGCTTGGGGACCTTGACATTCAAGCCAATTTACGAGAGCCACTTTCAGTTTGCTAGGAAAAATCTGACACAGGAAACACAGAGCTTGTTGGGTACTCACTCGCCAAAAGTCAGCCATGCTTCCAATCTCCTGGAAGGAGATACCACTATCCGTAGGAGTTTCCAAGAAGAGTTCGGACATCACTTTGGTGTAGTAATAGGCATTTGAACTTGTCATCCCATAAGTCACTAGAGATAAATCAGGTTGGGGAAAACAGCATGCAATTCAATAGGATTTAGACATTCATTCCACCTGACTGGCTTAAGTACGCAATATTAGAGTGGGAAGGTAAGTTTTATTATACTGATAAGTTGGAAGAATGCAGATATGATCCCCATTGATCAATGGATTGACAGTATGACAACACTCGTAAAGTATGAACAGACTGCTTAAAGATTTAGATTTTGTTTGGATAAATATTACAACATTTGGAAAGAGTTCGTACAGGGCAAAGTATGAAATTAATATCTACATACATATTAGGATAATAACACTATATAAGAATGCATGAGAGTATATTATATTGCGGGTGGGGCTGTGATCTAAACCACTGAGCCTCTTGGGCTTGCCGATCGAAAGGTCATAGAATCATAGAATCATAGAGTTGGAAGAGACCACAAGGGCCATCGAGTCCAACCCCCTGCCAAGCAGGAAACACCATCAGAGCACTCCTGACATATGGTCGTCAAGCCTCTGCTTAAAGACCTCCAAAGAAGGAGACTCCACCACACTCCTTGGCAGCAAATTCCACTGTCGAACAGCTCTTACTGTCAGGAAGTTCTTCCTAATGTTTAGGTGAAATCTTCTTTCTTGTAGTTTGGAACCATTGCTCCGTGTCCGCTTCTCTGGAGCAGCAGAAAACAACCTTTCTCCCTCCTCTATGTGACATCCTTTTATATATTTGAACATGGCTATCATATCACCCCTTAACCTCCTCTTCTCCAGGCTAAACATACCCAGCTCCCTTAGCCGTTCCTCATAAGGCATCGTTTCCAGGCCTTTGACCATTTTGGTTGCCCTCCTCTGGACACATTCCAGGATGTCAGTGTCCTTCTTGAACTGTGGTGCCCAGAACTGGGCACAGTACTCCAGGTGAGGTCCGACCAGAGCAGAATACAGTGGCACTATTACTTCCCTTGATCTAGATGCTATACTCCTATTGATGCAGCCCAGAATTGCATGTGGTTCGAATCCCCGCAATGGAGTGAACTCCTGTTGCTCTGTTCCAGCTCCTGCCAACCTAGCAGTTCAAAAGCACACCAGTGCAAGTAGATAAATAGGTACAACGGTGGCGGGAAGGTAAACGGCATTGCCATGCGCTGCTCTGGTTTTGCCAGAAGTGGTTTAGTCATGCTGGCCACATGACCCAGAAAGCTGTCTGCGGACAAACGCCGGCTCCCTCGGCGTGAAAGCAAGATGAGCACTGCTACCCCATAGTCGCCTTTGACTGGACTTAACCGTCCAGGGGTCCTTTATCTTTACCTTTTTACCTGATATACACACACTTTTTCCTCACGCCCCACTTTTTTTCTCTGTATCATTTTATTTCTTAAAAAATGAAATTCTTTCAATAAAATATTAATATTTTTTAAAAATTGGCTTTTTTATAGAGTATCTTGAGGCAGGAATGGGAAGGGGTTTGAGTGACAGGAAAATCTTTCTTAGGCAGCATCGATGATACAGAATTTACAACAAAGGCAAAATCTTGATGGCGCCTATATCAATAAAAATATGAAAGATTTCAACTTTTATATCAAGAGGAAGTAAACAGTGTTAGCAAGCTCTGTGGCTCAGGCTAAAATCTCAGGCTATTGAAAGCACCTGATCTACAGATTAGCCAGCATTGCAGCAGTCAAAGGTTGCCGCCCTCACTTTCTGCAAAAAAATTATCCTTAACACATTTTACAGAGTTTCCAACATACAATAGATCCTAAAGGGAGTGTTTAACGGGCAATGATGCATTTAGGACAGATCCTTTGGCATATCAGCATATGGTGACTGGGAGTGGCCACCGAGACCATATAACACCAGTCCTGAAAGACCTACATTGGCTCCGCCTCCCAGTATGTTTCCGAGCACAATTCAAAGTGTTGGTGCTGACCTTACAGCCCTAAACAGCCTCGGCCCAGTATACCTGAAGGAGCATCACCACCCCCATCGTTCAGCCCAGACACTGAGGTCCAGCTCTGAGGACCTTCTGGCGGTTCCCTCATTGAGTGAAGCGAGGTTATAGGGAACCAGGCAGAGGGCCTTCTTGGTAGTGGCACCCACCCTGTGGAACACCCTCCCACCAGATGTCAAGGAAATAAACAACTATCTAACTTTTAGAAGACATCTGAAGGCAGCCCTGTTTAGGGAAGTTTTTAATGTTTGATGTTTTATCGTGTTTTTAATATTCTGTTGGGAGCTTCCAGATGGGCGGGGTATGTATAAATAAATGAATGAATGAATAAATAAATTGCAGTGATTATATAAAACAAACATGCCGAGACCAAAACGTTTGTGGAATGCATAATGCTCCTCACATCTGAAGCCTAGCTTCAGGGAGGCTATCTGTACTCCTAAAAGAAAACCTCTCTGGTGAGAGAAACTGCCCCAGCTAATAACTGGAGTTTGGTTGCTGGAAATTAGCATCTGAAACATAGGAGCCAACCCTTAGGGGCCGAGGGTCTAAAAAAATTGAGCCCCTTCCTAGTTGATAGGCTTGGCTATTCAAATGGTGTGCATGTACTGCGTCCTGTGACCAATTATGCAGGATGGGGCTTATCTGGGCCCCCACAATATTTTATTCAAGTTGGCACCCTTGATCTGAAATACCTCTCAGCTTAATTTCAGCCCCTATTCTGTCTCTGCCCCCTCATTTGAAGCTACGACTGTGGGCTTAACAGCACCTCCATTTGCCTTGCCGATTTCTGCGGGGAAAGCCGGCTTTGAGCGCTGAACTGGAACAAACGGCAATCGCTCGAAGCCTTGAAATTGTGGGGCAAGTTGAAAACTACTTGGGCCTGTCTAGGCACAGAACAAGGGGGCGTGTGATGTAAAAGTATTTTTGTATGCCACAACTGCTGCACGGATTTTACTAGCCAAAAAATGGAAGCCACAAGAACTACCAGAATGGCAGATGGAGATAATGGAGTTTATGGAGCTGGCTGATCTCACCGGGAGAATCTGCAACCAGAAAGAAGAGGAACACCCAGAAGACTGGAAGAAATTCAAAGACTATTTGAATATATATTGTAATATTAAAGATATGTAATCACTTGAAAGCATCAATTAGGCCTAGGATTCAATTGGGATTACATATATATAAAAAAGAAAATGTACGATAAGAAAAGTTAGGAAATATGATTATGACTGTGATATGGTTTTATGAAATAAAGATATTGGAAACTGCTATGTATAAATACTAAGAAACTCAGATGGAAGAGATTTGAGGAAGTCAAATAATATGTTTATGAAGATGGATTCTAATTAAGTGTTAGTTTATGTGGTGATTTGTTGTATTTTATGTTTTATATTCTTTTTTCTTTTTTCCGTTTCATTCCCCCCCTTTTCTTTATTATTGTTAACTTTTTCTTCTGTTATGTTTATGTATGGAAAATAATAGATATTATTGGGGGGGGGGGAGAACAAGGTGGCGTGTGCATGAGCTCTGAGCCCTGTGACCAGTAGGAGTCCATGTCTATTTCCCCTGAGTGGAGACTAACCCATAGAATTAGTAGATCCTATCTGAGGCTGCTGTCGGAGGCCTCAAACACAGGCATTTCCCAATGTCCTCCTGACTCATCCGATTCACAGGCTTTAGAGTAGGGCAGCCATAGTTATTTGCTTCTCGTATCGGCCTGTTCAAAGCAGGCTCCCAAGCCAGCATCTTGAAAAGCAGAGACATCACCTTGCCAACAAAGGTCCGTATAGTTAAAGCTATGGTTTTCCCAGTAGTGATGTATGGAAGTGAGAGCTGGACCATAAAGAAGGCTGATCGCCGAAGAATGGATGCTTTTGAATTCTGGTGCTGGAGGAGACTCTTGAGAGTCCCATGGACTGCAAGAAGATCGAACCTATCCATTCTGAAGGAAATCAGCCCTGAGTGCTCACTGGAAGGACAGATCATGAAGCTGAGGCTCCAATACTCATGAGAAGAGAAGACTCCCTGGAAAAGACCCTGATGTTGGGAAAGATGGAGGGCACAAGGAGAAGGGGACAACAGAGGACGAGATGGTCGGACAGTGTTCTCGAAGCTACCAGCATGAGTTTGACCAAACCGCGGGAGGCAGTGGAAGACAGGAGTGCCTGGCGTGCTCTGGTCCATGGGGTCACGAAGAGTCTGACTCGACTAAACGAATAAACACAACAAGCCAGTTCAGTTGTACAGAGAGTAGCAACGAGACGCAGAGGCATAGCATGGTGGGGGGAGCCAGTGGGGCCATGGCCCCAGGCGCACATTTTTGAGGGGACTCAATCAGGCACCCGCACGACAGCTGAGTCATGACAGTGGGTGGATTTGTCTAGTGGGCAGGTGGATAGAGGCAACGGGCAAGGACGAATCTGTTGGAGGTGGGCTCCGTTCACCCTCCATGCGCCCCCCATCCCAGCTGCCCAGTCTATCACAGGGGTGCAACACTTGCTGTTAAGTTGTGGGTGAACATATCGGACGACACAGCGATTCTTCAAACAGGTCTTGTTTATTCACAGGCCAGAACAGAACTGAACTGAAGGGTTCAGCCAGCCTGCTTATATAGAGCTCTACTAGAACGCAACAGTAACCATTTTCTGTAACTATCCAATCACTGAATGTCACTTTCAATCCCTTATTTGCATATGTGGACCTGAGTGAAAACTATCTACAGTATCCCCCTGCTGGCCCAGGGTGAGAACTTCAGTACATAACACTTGCCCCACCCCGGCCACCAGCAACCCACGCTACACCACTGGAGGACGATGGCTGCTCCTCTCAAAACACAGCGTTGGAGGTAATTTTCAAGGTCACAGATCTCCGCATAGCATGGGTTTGGGCTACATTTGGGGAAACGGTTGCATCTCTGAAGAAACTGATATGGACGTCCGCTACACCAGATCTTTCCAAACTGTTCATGTTGGTGACAGACTCTTTACACATGCATCATTTTGCAACACAGCAATTCAGTTTTACTGGCAAACCGGAGGTTAAATTAACCCCTCCGCAGCCCTGGGAGGAGCTTAGGGAGGATTGTGTGACACACCTTACACCAGGGGTCAGCAAACTTTGTCAGCAGGGAGCCAGTCCACTGTCCCTCAGACCTTGTGGGGGGCCAAACTATTTTTTTTTTGGGGGGGGGGAGAAATGATCAAATTCCTATGCCTCACAAATAACTCAAACATGCATTTTAAATAAAAAGACACATTCTACTCATGTAAAAACACGCTGATTCCTGGACTGTCCGCGGGCTGGATTTAGAAGGCGATTGGGCCAGATCCGGCCGCCGGGCCTTAGTTTGCCTACCTAGCTGACACACTAACGTGCCAAAATGCACAATTTGGAAAGCTCTGATCTACACCAAAATGGAAGTTAAGAAGCTTCGCCCTCAAACAGTAAAGGGTAAAGGGGACCCCTGACCATTAGGTCCAGTCGTGACCGACTCTGGGGTTGCGGCGCACATCTGGCTTTATTGTCCGAGGGAGCCTCCGTACAGCTTCTGGGTCATGTGGCCAGCATGACTAAGCCGCTTCTGGCGAACCAGAGCAGCGCACGGAAACACCGTTTACCTTCCCACCAGAGTGGTACCTATTTATCTACTTGCACTTTGACGTGCTTTCGAACTGCTAGGTTGGCAGGAGCAGGGACTGAGCAATGGGAGCTCACCCCGTTGCAGGGATTCAAACCGCCAACCTTCTGATCGGCAAGTCCTAGGCTCTGTGGTTTAACCCACAGTGCCACCCACGTCCCCTCAAACATATAGCAGCAGTGAAAGTTTTTCTTTCACACGTGAAGTGATATAAGGGCTTGTGTGACAAGAAATCATCAGGAACTATGGCCAGAAACATGGTTTTGGATTGTCATTGCCATTTTAACCACTTCTAGCGCCTAGGACAAATGCCTCATCCATTCAGCAAAGGGGTCAGGCTGTGCTTGCTCCGCTAAGAGTGGGATCAAACTTATCACATGCATGCATACACTCAGAGAGACGTAAGCGCTGCCTAAGCTGCAACGTCAATGGCAGGATTCTCAGTGGGGAGAAAACTCGATAGGCATCCTACATAAACAACAAATTTTCAAAGCTCCTCTTTTGCCCAGGTCAGAACATCATTACTGTATGGGAAGAGTGATTTGAGCTTTGTCCCCCTGTTTGCAAGTGATAACTATTATTGCCATACCTGTTCTGCCGTGGAGTGCATGAAATATAATCTGTTGCCCTATGAGACATCACAGGTGCACCTTTGAGATAACAATAAATCTTCCCAAAACAAACAGCCATTGTTGTGCCCACACAAAGTGGCTTAGTATTTGGCACACAGCTGCATTAAATCTACCCAGAGAACACAATAGGAACGGCCATCTATGTTATCGTTCAGACCATCCTTCCTGCATAGTTCTTTGCGATGGAAAGGGGGGAAACATCAGGGTGTTGTGGAAGTTCTAACCACGCATGTCAAATTCCGAGTAGCTGCAATAAAATGTGGATGTTCCTACGAAATGAGAATGGGTCGTTCCTTCCACTACAACAGTGTCCCCCAGACTTGGGTCTGCAGCTGGTTTTGGACTACAATTCCCATCATCCCTGACCACTTGTCTGCTAGCTAGGGATGATGGGAGTTGTAGTCCAAAAACAGCTGCAGACCCAAGTTTGGGGAACACCACCCTAGAATAAGGTTACCAGATTTTTTTCAATGACTCTGGGGCCCCTTTTCAACTTCAGTAGGAATGATAGGATTTTGTACGGGGACTGATTTGTAAATCTAGGGACTGTCCCCAGGAAATGGGGACATCTGGTAACCTTACCCTAGAAGAACCAATGAATTTGTGGGCAGGAGAGGAAGGAGGGGAAACCAAGAAGACACCATTACTTTCTCCTACCGCAATCCAGTCCAGGAAGCCAAGTTCAAAGCTTGTGGGTTTGGCATCATTTGAGACAGTCCCATGGTTACCATGGAGGCCATGAAGTTCTGAGCTACTCTCAACAAGGGTGTCCCAGTAGGAAGTCTCACTGCTTTGGGGCAATGAAGGGGACAGTATGCCAATCGGATTCCTGTTCTGTCCCAAACACCCAGCCTCAGGAACAAGCACCAGAAACTGGCCACAAACACCTGATAAGGGAGAGCTGGACCATAAAGAAGGTTGATCGCTGAAGAATTGATGCTTTTGAATTATGGTCTGGAGGAGACTCTTGAGAGTCCCATGGACTGCAAGAAGATCAAACCTATCCATTCTTAAGGAAATCAGCCCTGAGTGCTCACTGGAAGGACAGATCGTGAAGCTGAGGCTCCAATACATTGGCCACCTCATGAGAAGAGAAGACTCCCTGGAAAAGACCCTGATGTTGGGAAAGATGGAGGGCACAAGGAGAAGGGGACGACAGAGGACGAGATGGTTGGACAGTGTTCTCAAACTACGAACATGAGTTTGACCATGAATCGGACACGACTAAACGACTAAACAACAACAACAAGGGAACTAGGTCCCAGTAGACTACAGTATCTCTGGCTCCCTATCCTCGGGGCCCAGTTTGCTGCTGCATGGAGAACTTGTCTTTTCAAAAGCCACCTTGTCGAAAGGCAGGATGCAAGTGTAATGAACCAACACAAGCCATCTATAAGAATATTTGTCCCTCGTTGGGTTGGAACCAACCACATGAATAATAAAAAGGAAAAGCAGCCCGGGCAAACTTACATAAACAGATATCCACCAAGAATACAATGTAGACCAACAGTTCGCGCAGTGTGGTCTTTACGTAAAGCTCTCGGTTCTCAGCGGTGTTTTCCGTTAGTGTGGTGCCCCAAAGTCCTGCAAAGAGAGAGAAAAGGGAAAGAAGTGAATAAACGTGCTTCTGTATTCACCTATTTTAGGTGCTAATCCACAGCACAATTGCCCCAGAGTGCTTCATCTGATGTGAGCAGTACAATCCCAGAAAAACTGAGCGAAGGGGGGAAGTTTTCAGGGCTGCTAGCAGGAAAAACTGGGGGTGTATATATGACAGGCCCCAGCCCAGCAAGGGCCCCAGATTCTTAGCTTTCTTTCTTTCTTTCTTTCTTCCTTCCTTCCTTCCTTCCTTCCTTCCTTCCTTCCTTCCTTCCTTCCTCCTTCCTTCCTTCCTTCCTTCCTTCCTTCCTTCCTTCCTTCCTTTCTTCCTTGTAAGTTAATTAGTCACTTTTAAAGAAAGTTAGCCCCTTCGTGGATCACTGCCTTGTTGTGGCAAAGGGGCTTGAATAACTCAGAGAAGCTATGAGCTATGATGCCGTGCAGGGCCACCCAAGACGGACAGGTCATAGCCGAGAGTTTAGACTAAATGTGATCCACCTGGAGAAGGAACTGGCAAACCACTCCAGTATTTTGCCAAGAAAACTCCATGGACATAAAAAAGGAGAAGCTTTGAGAAGAAAGTGAGTGTTTCCAAGGCATGCTCTGGTTCATGGGGTCACGGAGAGTCGAACCCGACTAAGACGACTAAACGGCAACAACAGAAAGTTATAAAACAAAATGCAGAGGCAACTCTAAGGCTTCAGCACTTAGCAGGCAGCACCTTTGCTAAGGACACATAATCACTTCAACACTGTTGCCAAACAATCCAAAGAAGGAATGCTGACCACCCCCATCTGGGATTTGAAAAAGGGGCCCCCTAGCAGAGCAGCAACTCCCCAAGAGAAACTTCTTGTCACTGCTATTCTAATGCTGAATAGAGGAGGATACTGGAGTGGTTTGTTTAAGCACCTTCCTTGTATCTCATTCACTCTTCAAGGGTGCTGTCTTTACAGAATAAAGCACAATTACTTGGCTTTGGTATGTTGTAGTCAGAAGCAGGGCTTTTTTCAGCCGGAGCATGCCGGAGCACAGTTCCGGCCCCTCTAAGGAGAACGCCATTGCGGGGCGGTGCTCCCCTGCCTGCTTCTTGTCTTTACGTACTTCTGAGAAGCCCAAAATGAACATTTCAAGTCAAAATGGAAGCTGACCAGTGTGTGTGGGTCTATAGGAACCAGCTCTTATAAATTAAATAGCGGTTCTTATAATGACCAGCCGGAGTGGAAACCAGTAGCAGTCAGTATGGCAGAGCATCCCCACTCCTCCTGACAGTGAGGTCAGTGCAATGCGAGGACACTAGTGGGAGCGATTGGCTCTGCTGCTGCGTTAGCACCGTGCTGGTCTCATCCTGGTAAGCCACAATGATGCAACTAACCAGGGCCCAGGTGAGTGTCCTTTCGGCCGAGCTGACGGGACGCATTCTGCTCCCCACCCCTTCCACTGAGGCAGCCTGACGGAGCTCATGCGCTCGACTGCCATTCCAGATTCAAATCAAATGCTCTTTGGTGCTCCCAGTGGTGCCAAACCTGAGCCTAAGAACATGGGCTGGGCTCCGTTTGAACATTGTTTTCTTTCATCAAGTCGCTGTTTCATCAGCTAATAAGCTGATGAGCTAGGTCAGACCATTAATGGCTTCTTCGTTGCCTTCTTCTTCTTCTTCCTACTTAAACTTTGATCTGGTGTGCATGTGACTCCCCCACTTAAAAGCCGAGTAGGTGTACTGACATCAATAGCCTAAGGGCTTCCATTCCTTTAATACAGTCTCAAGTGTTTCAGCTCTAAGGACACCTGTTATCAGCCATCTGTGATGGATATTGCTCCACACCCCTAATCAAAAGCACTAAGTACAGAACAGAACAAAGTGTTCTGTAGTAGGGAATGCTAATATATCGTGCAAGGGAAGCTTTTTCCTCCTTCATACTCGCGCTGCAAAAACTTCCTTATCACGACACAAGTCTGTCTCTGTGTTGAGATAGCCTCTGGAGGCCTCTCCTCACTGCCACCATCAGAATTAAGGCAGGGTTTCTGATTTTAGTCCATTGTCTAGAAGGACAGGTACTAAGGTAAAGGTAAAGGGACCCCTGACCATTAGGTCCAGTCGTGACCGACTCTGGGGTTGCGGTGCTCATCTTGCTTTATTGGCCGAGGGAGCCATGTGGCCAGCATGACTAAGCCGCTTCTGGCGAACCAGAGCAGTGCACGGAAACACCGTTTACCTTCCCTCCGGAGCGGTACCTATTTATCTACTTGCACTTTGACATGCTTTCGAACTGCTAGGTTGGCAGGAGCAGGGACTGAGCAACGGGAGCTCACCCCGTCACGGGGATTCGAACCGCCAACCTTCTGATCGGCAAGTCCTAGGCTCTGTGGTTTAACCCACAGCACCACCCGCATCCCTGTTTAGAAGGACAGGGTAGTGAGTCTTTAATTCATTAATTCAATCTATTGGTATCTGTGAGAGATGAAAGACATTGGGTTCACTCGCAAGTAATAACCCTCAATCAGCTATGTGGATCCACATGAACAAATAAACATGTTTCTGAATGCACATTCCCATCTGGATTCATCCTGGTATGATAAAAAAATGTATTGTGCATCGTGCAGTGTTAAAAACTCTACTAGTATTCGCAAGGCTACTAGTTGGGCTCAAGGGTTTCTGGCTTAGGGATATTGTATTTAAAAGTGGTGGTGGGATTTTCCCCTACCCCTGATTTTTCGGTCTTTTTTTAATACATAATGATTTCTCATGATCATCTTTGTTAGTGTATCAGTTGCCTATTATTTGCAGAATTTATGGCGGGATTATGTTCTTGTTTTCCTTTCTGTCTTAAACTGCACCTGAACAATTGTGCCACATGATTTCTGTTCTCATCCTGAAGCAAAGTCCTTAACCCGAGGTACTATTTCTGGGTTAGCGGAGTCTGTAACCTAAAGCGTCTGTAACCCGAGGTACCACTGTATTTAAGTTACAATTAGAAAAATCTTAATAATTATTCATAAAGGAAACATTTTATAAGAAGTAAATAAGGAGGCCAGATACAAGATAAAGGAAGTCTTTTATTTCGTTGTTTGTATTGTGTTTGTTATGCCCACTGTATGTTATGTTCACGTTTAATGAGGGTGGATTGTGTATTGGGGGTGGGGGTTTATGTTGTAAATAAAATTCCAAGAAAAATTATTTTTTAAAAAGAGAGACTGTTAATATCAGGGTCATGGGTTCAATTCCCACTTGGGCAAAAGATTCCTGCATTGCAGGGGTTTGGACTGGATGACCCTTCCAACTCTACAATTCGACAATTCTGTATTATTTATTCATTTACCTATAATATTAATTTCCCTTGACAGAGACTCAGGGCGGCTTAGAAATAAAGGCAAGATGCATGGAATGGTCTGCAAAGTTTAATAATACGTTACAGTTTCGTTTTCTACACACCTGTGCCCAGGGATATATTTCTAGGAAACATTCCAGATTACGGCACCTATCTGAGGCAAAGTGAGCTCCGGTTTCCGAAAGCTGAAGCCACCACATTTGTTACTAAACCTGTTCGGCGTTACAAAATGAAGGAGGAGATATTAGTATAGCATGCAAGCCAACCTTATGCATGTTTAGTCAGAAGTTAAGTTTCGCTGTGCAGAGTAGCATTCACTTCCAATAAAGTGTGTACAGTGGTGCCTCGCAAGACGAAATTAATCCGTTCCACGAGTCTCTTCGTCTTGCGGTTTTTTCGTCTTGCGAAGCACAGCTATTAGCGGCTTAGCGGCTTAGCGGCTATTAGCGGCTTAGTGGCTTAGTGGCTTTAAGAAAAAGGAAACAAACTCGCAAGAACTCGCAAGACGTTTCGTCTTGCGAAGCAAGCCCATAGGGAAATTCGTCTTGTGGAACGACTCAAAAAACGGAAAACCCTTTCGTCTAGCGAGTTTTCCGTCTTGCGAGGCATTCGTCTTGCAGGGCACCACTGTATGTATATATGGGATTTGCAGCCGAACAGTCTCTGACCTTAAAGGGACGTGGGTGGTGCTGTGGAGCCTAGGACTTGCCCATAGAAGGTCAGCGGTTCGAATCCCCGCTATGGGGTTTGCTCCTGTTGCTCGGTCCCTGCTCCTGCCAACCTAGCAGTTCGAAAGCACGTCAAAGTGCAAGTAGATAAATAGGTACTGCTCTGGCGGAATGGTAAACGGGATTTCTGTGCGCTGCTCTGGTTCGCCAGAAGCGGCTTAGTCATGCTGGCCACATGACCTGGAAGCTGTATGCCGGCTCCCTTGGCCAGTAAAGCAAGATGAGCACCGCAACCCCAGAGTCGGCCACGACTGGACCTAATGGTCAGGGGTCCCTTTACCTTTACCTTAGTCCCTGACCTAATTTTGTTTCAAAGTTTTTGTCTTCCCTAAGAGCAGAGGTATGCTGAAAAAACTGTGGTAACTTTTAATCAGTGTGTGCGTGTGTGTGTGTGTTTATTAGTAAAATCTGATGCTTACATCAACTGGGTGAGGGGTTCATCACAACCCAATGAAAATTGACCTCTTTAAGGGCATCTTTTATCATATGTGGTGGAACTGTAAAAAGATAAAGGGATTCTGGGAAATGATATACAATGAATTAAAAAAAAATGTTTAAAATAACCTTTGCCAAAAGACCAGAAGCCTTTCTCTTAGGAATTTTAGGTGCAAATATACCGAAGGATTTGAGAAGACTATTCATGTATGCGGCTACAGCTGCAAGGATGCTGCTTGCTCAGTGATGGAAAGAGGACAAGACGCCGACAATGGCAGACCGGCAGATGAAATTATTGGACTACGGAGAGATGGCCAGATTGACTGGAAGAATCAGAAATCAGAAGGATCAAAACTTCAATCGAGAATGGGACAAATATAGATTGTGTTTAAAAGAATACTGTAAACACTTTGGCAGCCTTTGAATACACTTGCAATGTTCCGAAGACTTTGGATATATTGGAGGACTATAATTCGGATGAAATTTGATGAGCATT